TTGGCACGTGCACAACATTATAAACTGCATAATTGTTTTTATTAGAATTCTGTGAGTTTGGAGGTACCTGTTCTTTAATTACACTTGGAAATTGTCCAGGAAAACTCTTCTAAAATGTACTGCTTGCAAATCCATAGTCGGGCCACCCACAATGACAGCTTTTATTTTTCTTCTATTAGTGATGGACATTTTCATTTAATTCTGGTGTGGGTGTGTGACAAAGCCCCCGTGTTCTGAACTGCAGCTTCCCCCTGTTCACTTTTCAGCCACAGAGTGTGTTGGGATGCCATGGCAGCAACTTTTGACATTTGGATTGGAGCCAGGTAAGCGCAATTTGCCGAGTTTTTATGTTGTCTTTCTTGCTGCCTTGGTCTCCCCTCCCCCTTCTAAAAATTGCTGGTGACACTGGAAGTGCAAGTCAGTTAATCTTGTCTAAAATCTAAGCATTAGCCTACAGCACTGACTGCAAGAGAAATGCAGAACATTGCTCTGGGAAGTTTCTGCATGTCAGCCGTAAGCATCCAGCGTGGAGGTGGGTTTAGTTCCGCTCCTGAGCCCAAATCTCTGGTGTGGCAGGACGGAGCAAGTACAATAGGAGCAAGTCAGCAGGATAGCTGGAACTCCATGCTCCATGCCAGAAAATAGGATGTCCAGCTAGCACAAGTAAATGTGTAGAACTAATCAAATTAGGATGGACATGCTGTGCAACACAGAGAAATGCATGTAAGCAGAAAATTGTGTTTAATATTTGTAATCAAAAGCATTTCTTTGGGACTATAACAGCCCAGTGCTACGTGCAAATTGGGTGAGGAAAAAATGTAAACATTGTTTCTTTGATTTCATTGGGACTTAGGGTGCAGGAGGAATGCTGGATCAAGCTCCTTTTCCAGTGGCGGTGATTAAAAAGCTATGTGAAATGAACTTAGGGACTTATTGACAGAAAATATTACTGTAAATGGTGGTGAAAACCTATTCCACAGAGATTACTCTTTATTGCTTGGAGTTTGCCAGAATTTATAGGATGCAATCTGAAGACTGTGTTTAAAGACCATTTGAGGAAATAACTTCAGTCCTCACACCGTGTTTTGAAGCTTCTGCAGAAAGCAGAATTTAATACAGAAACTGGAGAGATGGTGGAATTTTATTCTGTGAACTTTCAGGCCCTTAAGGAACATGAATTAATGGAGGAACCACACCACGTCAAGCAGTAGATGTTTTTGTTACTTATACAGTTTCCATGTCAGCTGAAATATAGTTACCTATAAACAGAATAACCAGTGACGCTGTGTAGCCCATGCCATGTGTCACTGAAGAATGCAATTAACCATCATGCAAAAGCAACTTTATTACAGTAGCTTATATTATAAGCTATATACTGGCTAGAAATGCTGAAGTGTGTCTTGCATGTGCTTTTGGGTATATGCTAATCTGGCATTTCCCATTCCTGAGAATATTGTGGCCAGCTTCAAATTTCACGGAAGTAAACAAAGAAGGATTTGTTGTTTCTTTTCATTAGGGTAGCTTTTAAAATGTGGGGAGAGAGGAGAGGATATGGTATAGGAGTAGCTGTGCTGTTAGCAGGCACTGTCTATGCTTTACAAATGTGATTTGTGGAGGTAAGACCAACTAAGGTAAGAGCAGTGTGTGCAACCTTTCTTCTGCATGGGGATCATCCCAGCAGGAAGGACTGCAGCAGCCTGTCTCCTCAGAGTCTGTGTGCCAGCCAAGCAGAGGATCAGTGGCCACTTGTGCCAGCTGGAGAGGTTTGTCCTCTTCTTTAACTGCATGGTGCTCTGTGAGTTTAGGCAACACGCAGACAGCCATGCTGGTTTTGTACCAGTTGGTTACATCCTGCCACTACATGTAATCTGTATGAACACTTCTACAAATTATGAACTCACACATGTTTTGCTGGACTAGAAGATCTGGAAGATTTTTTTTTAACCTTGCTACAAGTGAGTAATAATTGCTGAACTGTGTAGATGAAGTATATAAATTCACAAATTGCCTTGGGATTATTGAATGAATAATACAACAAGAAAGGAAAAACTTAAATGTTATGGTATGCATGGAGCCTAACCAAGTAATTGCACTTTGGAGACTACTCAGCTTGGGACAAAGATGAACTTGACAGTCTTGAAAACTACCAGCTCTTTCTAAAGAGGATCCTTTTCAATTGCAAAGGTGTTTTCATGAAGACTTTTCCACGAGGAGTTTAGCCCAGCATGTGATCAGTCAGCACCAAAGCCTGCTGAGAGTGAAACATCTTCATGAGGATCAGCACAGAGAGAGCATCAAGATTAACCTGGGAGTATTGAACAACCCAACAAGTATGTTCCCTGGTAAGAAACAGTCACAGAAATGGTCAAGGAGGAATGGAGTTGCAGAAAGTAAATGCAGAGGTAGCAAGAAACTGTTTTTGCTCTGATTTTGCTATTCTTACTCACTCAATACAGTGTGACTAAAGTACCTGATATAAATAAGCCTACACTGCTGCTTTTTCTCACTGGAAGTACTCTGTTCCCAGCTGTCAATCATATATGATTGAAATCTGATACACATTATTCAGATTAATTTCTAATACAAATGTATCTAGACAAATAATCAAGGACTGGGACTTTTCATTTCCTTGTGTTCACTGGTAACAGAAGAGTTTCTCATGTAGATAGAAGAGAATTTCAGCAGGTGGATACTAACAAGTACGCTGAAAATATGACAGAACTGATTAGCATGAAAAAATTTTAGCAGTGTCCAACCTGATGGCCTGGTGAGAAGAGAGAAGAATCCATGAACAGCCTGTGTTATGGCAATGAAGGAATACATCCTAGGTGCTTGCCTGAGATGGGAAGTGCTAGGGAGTGGGAGAGAAAGCCAACCCTCTGACACAACGTTGTTTACCACACTGTGGAGCTTTATTTCGCTAATGGTTTGCATGGTAACAATGTTTGCACATGGTAAGGAGCCGCCTGCAGGATTCTCTGATGTTTATGACCAACTCTGCTGGGGTCATGATTGACTCAGAGAGCAAAGTATGATGCTGTCTGAGCATGCTAACTGATCAGTGATGCTGCCTACAGGCCAAGGAAGGTTGGGGTCCCCTGCCTGATGCCAACTCAAAGTTAGACACGTGTCATTTGTAGTCATGCAAAACAGTATCGCTTTTTTTCTTTTCTTCTTTGATCGTTCTCAGAAACTACAGATCCCTGGGGTGAAGTCTTAATTCCACAGAAATCAAGAGCAGGACTCTCTTCTAGGGAGTGCTAGGCTTGTGATGAAAGTTTTGTTGTTTCCTTTTTAAACAATTCTTGTAATTGCTATAGGTTTGTATACTTATTTCCTCCCCTTTCCAGCAAATAAAATGTCAGTTTTTCCAGTCAGATAGTCTACTGAAAACAGTTAGGTCTGTCTGTTCAGAGTGTTGAAGGCTGATAATAAAATTATAGCTCCTGTGGTTTTATTCTTTTCTCCTATTATCTCCTATGCAGAGCACATTTTACGTGCTTTTTGACTGCTGTAAACTTCTAGCCAGCTGTTCCTTCTGAATATACTCTGTGACAGGTGAGAGGTGCGCTGTTACAAAAAGGTCTTGAAACTTTACCGTGATGTATTCAGCAAGGTGATAATGTAAAACCACTGGGAAATAGAGGTGAAGTTCCACACCTATGATGTTTTTTTAAGGTTTAGGGACAGAAATGCTTTGGAAGGGAAAGCATTTCTGATCTGTGTGAGGCACTGCCCCCCAGCAACCACCAGACAGCCCAGGGGAAGGAGGTGGATGGAGCTGGCCCCCAGTTCACCCCACCCCGTGCTGTGCTGCATCCTGAGCCAAGTGGAGCTGCATCCTGAGCCAAGTGGGCACCTGGTGGTGACACAGCCACTGCCTGTTTGCATGGTGTGACACCAGGAAGGGGGAGATCCTGAGTGAGATTGCATTGAGATAGATACAGGAAAACTCTCCAGCACAAAAGGTAGATCGTGAGGTGAGGGACACTTCTCTATGTGCAGCCAAAACCATCAGAAACAAGTTCTGTATTGTGTGCTAACCTGGGTCTGTCCCATTAACTCCACTACTTAAGTTTCCTTCCAGATTATTTAGACCTTTCATCCTTTACTGACATTTTCCGTAGAAGACAAACTGTAACCTAACAGTGTGGACTGGATGTGTCAAGCCCAGGGCCTGCTGCTGCTTTTGGCTTAGTACCTGTAAGCCACTGCACAAAGCCAGCTCCCCTACTAGCATCAGTGTTCCGTGTTCAGTAACAGGTCTTGGCTATCACAAATATGTTTTCTCCACGGGCGATTTAATCTTTGGTTTTGATTGTGTGTTTCCTCTGAAAATAATAGAAAATAACAGCATATTCTCTCCGAACGAACGGCACTTCGGACCTGGATGGCTCGCGCTGGACTCTTCTCCTTTTCCCCAATTCCCTTCTCCCCATATCATCACCCGCTTGTCCGTCTGATGAAGCCCTGCGTCTCAGCTCTCCATTCTCGCCCCCAGTTGCGCTCGTCCCGCCGGCGCAGGTGTGCGGCACCGCCGTTCCCCCTCAGCCCTGCCCTTCCTCCCTCCCGGACGTCGCAGGAGCCGCCTCCGTCTCCCCCTCGCCCAGGTGCCTCCCCCCGCACCCCCCAGCCCAGCCCCGGCCCCCAGTCCCCCGGCCCGGCCCGGCCCGGCCCCGCCGCCTCCCTATTGGTCCCGCCCGCTCCGCTCCGCGGCGCCCCCCGGGCGGCGACCGCTCCGAGACGCGGCGCCGGAGGCAGCGCTGCCCCGCGGCGGCGGTGGCGGAGGAGGCTTAAAGCGTGCGCGCCGTTGGGCGGCGAGGGCGCGCTCACCTGGGCGCCGCTCCATGGGCTCCGCCGTCGCGCACGGCGGGGGCGCGGCGCTGCGAGGCGGCCGCCGGAGCTGCTGCGGGGCAGAGCCCAGGTGACCATGCGGGGGATCCGGGCTCGGCCGCCGCGCGCTTCGGGGAGCAGGTAGCACGCCAGGTGCACGGCGGAACATGGACTGTCTCCTGCTGGTCGTCTGGACTTTACCTGCCGCGATTCTCAGCGGCAGCTCCATGCAGTTCCCGACCTTCCTGTGGCTTGGAAACGCTGTAAAGGCAGGTCGAGAGCACTTTCTTTTGCAATCGCCTAGTGTACTTGCACAGCAGGTTACTGCACAGTTTCTGATGCCTTGTCTTTCTGCCTTCCCTTGTCAAGTGAATCTCGCCCAATACTTCTTTTCTCTCTTTTTTTTTTTTTTTTTTTTCTCTTGCAGACCCTTCAGCTGTGTTGCCTCTGTTGCATGTCTCATGCAGCAAGTTTAACCAGTGACAGCATCAGTAGCAGTGAATTAAACCATGGTTTGTATTGCTCTTTCTGTATCTTTGCATATGAACATTTGTGTAGACGCTTTTTTCTTGGTAGACTGAGCAGTTAAAGTGAAGAAGCTTCAGCGTTTGGGGAGCATAAAGTGAAAGTGAGTTGGCTTCTGTAAAACAGCTATCTCTGGGCAAAGATTGACTTGATCAGCTCTGTGTGCAAAGACTACAAGGAATGATGTCTACAGGCAAAGAGGATGAATAAATGAGATGGGAAATACATCCATATATACATATGCAGTTAGAAAGATGAATGTGTATGTAGCCACAACATCAAAACCTCATATATTTGTTATGGAAGCAAGGAGACAAAAGTAGTAAAAAGATTTGGGTGGGACAGCGGAAGTGGCACGCTGCAGGATAAGGGAGAGCAAACCTGGAGAGAAAAGGCTGTGTGATGAGAGCCCTGTTTGTTCCCAGGCTGCAGAGACTAGCACTTAGATGCTGATGACTTTGGGAAGGTTGAAGTGCAGTATGTGTTTTTTTATTGGATGAGTGGGGAAACAAAGTACAATGGAGAACCATACCAGGGTGCAGGAAGGAAAATCCTCTTGCACCCATTGCCTGTTCACCAGGGGATTCCCTCACTCCAGCAGCTGCTTGCATTTTTTGGCCACTAGCCTGCATAGCGTTCTGATTTCTGATGCTGATTAATGCTACTCAAGGAAAGCAAAAGCTCTTGATGCATTGTTTCCACTGAAGAGAAACAGCCTATCACTGCTTATGTGTTCAGCTTAGTGTGTACCCAGTAAAATCTACTCAGGCCAGGAAATTGTATCTGAAACATCTTTAACAAGATAAGAAGGTTTTTTCTTCTTTTGTAATGGTTTTATTTCAATTGAGGGAGAGGAGTGAGTTGTCTAACTGTCAAATGCACAGGCATCTTTAAGGGTGCACAGAGATACAACTCAACAGCTCAGTGAGGCTGGGAAGCAGTTTATTCACCATACTTACTCACAGCACTGGGATTAGGTGCTAGTTCAGCAAATGACAAAAATTCAGAGCCTGTATCCAGGCTCTCTGTATGGACAGATCAAGAGCAGTGGTGATGGACTTCAGGCTAGGCACTTGCTTGTGAAGCTAGCTGAATCAGAGCCTCTGTTTTTTCCTTTCATAGTTTACTACAAGTAGATCTCAGCTAAGTTTTGTAATTTTTCGTGTATTTTATCCAAAACAATAAATTTCTTTGACATGCAATTAGCAATGGCTGACTAAAGGTTATTAGGTAGCATGTAATCTCTTTCTTCTGAAGGTCAGTTACAATTTGAAACCCAGTCTAATCAAGTCACTACAAAGAGATGAGGTCTCACTCAGTTAAGGCATTAATAAATTAATCCTTTAATCCATTTGAACAAGTGGTACAGTTCTACAAAGTCCCAGTCATGGTTTCCCCTACAGTGATACAATATTTGCTGCATTCTTAGGGACAAAAAAAAAAAGAAAAAACCTCAAACCAAAGCAGCCTTCACATTTGACAGCAATTAATACAGGGGGAGGGGAAAATCTACAGATCTGCTGGTGATGACAAATGTCTTCAGAAGAGTGATTGTGGGAATGTTCACAGCTATGCTACTTAGTCTGTACCTCTCAGTGGGGCAGAAAGGAAACAAACACTGTTTGAGAGGCTGTGTGACTTACAGGGTGAATACATGCAGCCAAGCCTATATACACATAGCCTGTGGAGCTTTCAGGCTATTCCCTGAATGGGGGAATTCTTCATACCATAACAAAAGCCTGCTGCTTGCTGTGTTAGAATGACACCGTATTTGCTGGATGCTAAAGCTGATGGCTAACTTTATCGTTACAGATTATGTCTTTGTGACACCCGTCAAAGTGGATGCCAGTGGATCATACATTTCACACAATGTTTTGCACAGTACTAGGAAAAAGAGATCAACTCACAGTTCAAGGAGTTCCTTGCACTACAAATTTTCAGCATTTGGACAGGAGCTTCACTTAGAACTTAAGCCTTCAACCATTTTAAGCAACAGTTTTGTTGTCCAGGTACTTGGGAAAGATGGAGTCTCAAAGTCTCAGGAACATGAAATTGAGCAGTGTTTCTACCAGGGATTTATAAGGAACGATAGTACCTCATCAGTAGCAATATCTACATGTGTAGGCTTGGTAAGTGTCTCTTTCAAACAAATCAGTACTCAAAACTATTTTCATACGTGGAACCATGGTTGTTTTGGCAAAGATCTTTATGTACCATATGCCATTTGGTGATTTTTCTTAATACCACTGGTTGCTATTGCATTTAACAGAAGAGGTATAGGTATAGTTAATTAACTGTATCTCACCTTTAAGGATCTTTCAGGAAAAAAGCAGAAGACTGCTAGGCCTAGTAACTATCCCATAGAAGTTTTCGTTTGTTGTAGTTTGTGATAGTTTCTACCTGTTTTGCTTCCTCTTAAATAAATGTTCTTCCTGCTATTGTGAACTGCTGTGAATAAAGAAAAAAAATCAAACTCCACGCTAATGAGAAAAAAATGTATACCTAGTTTTGTCAACTGCTTTAAGGAAGGGTGAATTTCCTAACACAGCAGGAGTTTTGAACCAATTTCCCTTAGCTTCCTGTGGCAATTCCAGCCTACTTTGGTTTATAAGTCTTGATGAGTTGGTCTCTTATGAACGTGTTAAATGCTGTCTTTGCATACGTTCTATTAATGGCTGTTCATGAAAAATTACTATGCACAAATGATTTTTTTTTTTTTCCAAAATGTATTTGATAGTGCTATTTTCCTCCAGAAAGGTCTTTACTGATGTAATTCAGAATAGCTAGCTACAGAATTAATAGTTATTAATGGCTTTAAGGCAAAAGATCTTGCACTTCACAAATTTCATATGGACACAGATTAGAACAGTGACATTCAACAGTGCTAGGTTATATGGAGCTATCTTTATGCTGTATGGTTCAGAGGTCCAAAGGATGTGTTGGGTCACTGTCTAGAAATCTCTTTTGCAAAGGTACTTGATCATAAGGGCTATTAAACTGCATGGTAAGACTAAAAGAGGGGCACTTCAGACATCCAGTGTTCCTTTTGAAATAATAATCAGAGACTTGAGAAGAGGGTGGTTCACTAGGAAGAGCTGTTGAATACTGATAATTGGTTGAAATAGTCTGGTAATATTTTGAATGCTCTACTTAAATGCGTTGGTCACAGCAGTCAGATGAATTAGTATTTTCCAGTTCATTTGAACAGTTGCAAATGTGGCTTTGGAGCAAATGCCAGGAGCTGGAATGAATTTTTTTGTTTTTATGTTTGTAGTACTGATCTGTCATTATCAAATGTGCTTAGTCGGGAATTTCTATGGAAACTTAATTTTCAAAACTAATAGGTATTATCACTTTTATTTAGACAAAAGCTGTTTTAACTTATTGCAGTGTTTGCCATGTCCTGTAAGGGAAGCGCTCTGCCTCTGTACAACAGCTGGAGTTTGGGTGATCTCCCTGTTTGGTCACGTTTTATTTTCTAACATGCATCAAGAGCTAAGTGGAGCTGGGCTTGTCATGTCTTGTCTGGAGAAGGAAGGTTCAAGTCTGCCTCGGGTCACAGAGAAACAGAATGTAGTGATCTTAACTGAGACTGAAATGGATCTTTTACCACTGTCTCGACATACAGGTTGTTATGACTGGTAAGCTTTACTTACAAAAGATCCAGAAACTGATCAAAAGAGAATAAATATTGTGGCTTCAAAAAATTTATTATGGCAGAACCTTTTCAGTATCTATGCTATTATCAATTGGAATCTGTCTCCTTCTTTAATCAGTCCCAAGATTCAACATAGTTCACCTTAAATTGTTTTACTTCATTTACCAATTTAAAATAACTTCTAATAATCTCCTGCACAGTCAGTATCACAACATATAATTGTTCCTTTCTCCCTATCCTTTTATTAATTTCTGTGCAACTGGTGCCTGGCAGTAAAATTATCAACACAATTCTTGGTCTTTCAGCTTGCAAGACTGCTTTCTTAAAAATGTCTCATCAGCTGTTTGTAATGACAACCTCGTTGCTTTTTACTGTGATCCAAATTCAGTAATCATATGTTAAGTCTGGACGCTCTGCCCTGACCAGGAGAACCTTGTGAATAGCTTCTATATCCTCTTTGCACCAACTACTTTTGTCACTTGGTTGCCCTTCTTTCCTATTTGCTTTGTTCACTGCAATTAAACCGAAAGTGGTGTTTCTTCTATATGGTTGGTAGCACTAATCTTTCCATTGTTCCTTTCATTAGCAATAGCTTCTCTACAATAAAATTGCAGTGACCCATTCTTTCAGGCCTGGAACACCACAATGTGATTTGGAAGCAATTGCATTTCAATAGACTACAGGGACTCTTTGATCTAATTTTTTGGATGACCTAGAGTATTCAGTCATTCAGTTGTCTGTTATCTGCCATTGCCTGCAGAGTGGACTCTTGAGAGAGTCTATATGAATTGGTTTGTTAGACAGAATAACCTTAACACTGGAAAGGAGCAAGAATTTGTTGCTTCAGTATCATCTATTAAGATATGTGTGCATCTAACACTTTAACAGTTTAGATGACACTAAGGCCTCACATTTTCATGCTGAATTGTTGATTGGAAACCAAACGTTTCCATCCATCAAGATAATTTTCTCGATGGGTCAAAAGGCAAACTTGGATCCATGCTCTTTATCTGGTGTAAATTAAGTTAGCATTTTAGGATAATGCATGCACATTTGCTTTGAGTGATATCTCTTGCCTTTTCATCACCCAAATATTTAGGTACTTTGATTGTCAACAGGAAAATTCCTTTTTTTTCCCCGCCCTTTTTTCTTTATTCAGCATATGCCTTGCTTGCTGTACCATGTTTTTCCAGTCTTTTTGATGAAATTAACTTGTATGCAGGAAATCTTGTTCAGATATTTCTACATGCCTGCTTCACCATCGGCCATTAAGTAACAGCATCATGCATACCTAATAATAAAGTGTGTCACATTTAGTAAAATTCAGGCTTATGTTCTACATCCCACAGATTCGCTCAGTTTATAAAAAAATGCTCAAAAAATGGTACTTTATATACCTTCAAAAAAAATATATATTCTGGGCTGTCTGGAGAGAAGACAATATTAAAACAACTATGATAATTTTTATTTTTAATTTTCATATATTTTGCTAATACATTCTTACTCTCAGGGCTGTTTCTGTTTGTTCAACTCTTTTAACTTTGGGTCAGTGAGTTCATTTACATTTGTAAATACAAAAGCAGTTTGTTCTTCTGGCATCATCTTAATGTGGCCCAAATAGAAAATTGGGTAAAATTTCCAACTCCTTTCTTCACTGATATTCATTATCACTTTTAATAAAACTCTTGTGTATGTCAAGCATGACTTTTTGGAGTTTCCTTCAATTCCTTGTGCTATCCCAGTGTGTACATCCAGACTACTGGTTTGTCTTGCCACTTCATCTCACTTTCAATTCAAACTGCTCATTCTGCCCAAAATTATATATATTTTTTTCTGAAGTCCTGACTTAATTCTTACTTATTCAGATTAAAATTTGATTCCCACTATTGTTCAGTTAATATCAAATTACCTGTAATTGCCTTTAGTTATATAACTGGAACGCAGACTATGCCAAACACTCATAATAAAGGGGTTTTCTGAAGGAGATAGTGTAGGCCACTGTTAGGATAAGAAAATCTTTTAGGAAGCATTCAATATGGCCATTTGTGTATTCTCCTTGCCCATCCTTTTAATCATGACATTCTCTCTCCTGTATTAAAAACAGATATTAGTGTCAGGTTCACCATCTTTAAACCCACTTCAGGATGACATTGTTCCTAAAAGCTTTACTACTCTCTGTGGTTTGATTGTCTCTTTTTATATACTTTTTCTCTCTGTTCTGTCTCTTGTATGGCAAGTTGTTTGCAGCACACACTAAATTGGGGCAGAATACAACTCAAGTTGTCTCAAGAACATAATCTGACTGCTGACATTCTTGAAAGTAATTTAAACATGTATTTCTAGGATCAGAAGTGATGTTCCCTTGTGAACAAGACCTTTCTCTGAAAGAGTCGAGGAAGTTTATAGCATACTCCAGTGCACAAGACGTAGAAAATATTGATCATAATGAATGAGTTGGTTTTTATGTAACATTTGTGGGAGTGTTGCAGCTGTTTGGTGGAGGAGTCATGTATTAGGCAAACACAAAGCATGTGCCCCCTAAAGAAATATGTATACAACATGAAGGAATTCTCTTAGCTTTACATTATAATCAATTTAATGGAACAATAAAAGTCCCATAAAATACATAATTTTATTGCTTAGGCCAAATTCAACCCTAAACAAGTGCGCCAGTGTGGAGACCTGACAGACTGCTCCTGCTTATACTAGAGGAGAATATGTGCCATTCTGCCCTTTTATTTATGTGCAGCAATTAGAAGAGTGGAGTCAGCTTCATGCACTAGCCAGTGCCCTCCTTTGTTTTTGGTAAGATGTGATTGAATCTTTCATTATAAGGGGCCTCTTGTCTCAAATTCTGTTGTTTGTTAGTGTCTAGTCAAGGGAAGAGAAAGAGGAGGGAAGGATGAATCATGTTACACTCACTGAGCTGTCAGAGGAGTCTACGACTGGAGAAAGGGTTAGATGTAGTAGTGAGAGATAAACAGGAGATGTATTAATTCAATGGTAGTTGTGTGTACATGTCTGAGGGCAGGACTTGCTCAAAGTATCAAAGAAGCCACAAAATTAAAGCTTCTTAATGTAGTCTGGCCACCTAAGAGGCAGGCAGGCAAGGCAACTCATGTACCCATTCTTTTTAGTAATTTAATTGCACCCTGTATTAGCATTATTTAAGTTCATGCTAACAACAGTCTCTTATTCCTAGAGCTCACACTTTAAGTCCAATTAAGTATGTTGAGACAAATCCCAAGGTTCTTATTCAGACAAACTGCCGTCAAAATCAGTGAGCCAGGCTGCTGGTGAAAGTACAAAACAATTGCTGTTTATAAGGAAGGTCCTTTAGAAAACTACAGCTGTAAAAATAGGACAAAATTTGGCCCAGTAGGACCTCGAAAAGAAACCAAGCACAAAAATGACAATTTGACTTATTCTCAAAACTATTTTTAGGCCTTCCACAAGTCAATATGCAAATCT